GAGACAAAAGGAGCGCGAGGGGGGAGGCGCTGAGGGGAGGACCGAGGGGGCGAGAGGGGCCCGTCCTGGCACTGCCCCGTCCCCAGGCTCCAGCAGCGGGGAGGGGAGGCGTCCCCGCGGCCCTGTGAGGGTACGCGGCTTCCTCAGCCATGGCGCGAGTTGGGCCGAGGCTGGTGCGGGGCAGGCCGCGGAGGGCAGCTGCGCCGGTATGGCCCAGCTGGGTGAGAGGGAAGGGAGATGTGGGGTGCCCCCCTCATCTTTCCCTCAGGTCATCCCCCCCAGCCCCTCTCAAAGTGGCACATCTCACAGGCAGGACTGTATCTGCGATTTTGGCCATAGGGTGAGCAGTGCGTAGCCAAGGACAAGCCTGGTTTGGGTGGACTTCGCTCAGGTCCCTGGGGAGAGGCAGCAGCAGGGCAAGTCTCTGGGGCCAGAGACGCCCTCGTGTCCTCTTCTGCCTCTGAGCACCTCCTGACTCACCCCATCTGTTACCCACCCCACAGGGCCTGTCCCCCCAGGGCTCTCCAGCCTCCTCCTCCCGGCACCCAGGAGTCCCCCAGGACGTGTCTGCTGAGGGAGCAGCCATTCCCATTTGCCACCAGGACAGGGCTTTGAGCTGGATTAAAGTGTCTGGTAAGTCACATTCTGCCCATGGATCACCAGTGGGATGTGATTTATGTATTTATTTATTTAAACATTGGCACAACACTAGCTTTCTCCCAACATTAACAACAGAGAGAATTTCTCAACCAAATTACATCCAGGCTCTTTGATGAAACTGAAGCCTGCTGATTTTATAATAGATGCTGTATCACGTATATCTTGGCACCTGTTGGATAGTAAATCATCAGCAGAGATGTATAAAGAATGGCAAATATTTCATCACATGTATTGAGTACTTCTTGTTCTGCATTACCTTCCCTGTATTCTTTGAGAATATTATTACCAGTGTTCTTTCTATTCTGTGTATCTCAAAACCCACATTATTATCTATAATTATTCTCAAAATAGAGTGCAAAATGGTGATATTAGTATAGCTACAAAAGAGTAAATCTCACATGAATGCTTCAAAAACCTTGTACCAGAAGACTGACCCTGCAAACACAAGCATTTCCTTTTTATATTGAGTGATGTCTGAAGACAAAAATCCCCTTTCCCTCCTTACTACATTGCCATGCTTTGGGAATATTGGTAATTGAGGGATTCTCTCTTCAAAGCACTTTGCATATGAAAGGAATAGAGCAGCTTGGCACTGTGACAAACATTTTATGGGAAACCTGTAGATAAAAAAACCAGTCAGCAACTGCTAGAGAAAGCTGTGCATTGTCTTCCTGAATGTCTCTAAGGAGATTTCAGATTAATCAGCCAAGGAAATCAGGTCTGCTTCCTATTATTATTATTATTGTTCCTGATGTTATCTTAGTCCCTAGGAGTGCTTGCCACAGACCAAAAGCCCCTCTTTGGGCTAGCAATCAGGCAATCCCCCACCCCAACTGATTTCCAACATAGCTTGCAGTCTAGGCATAAGACAAAAGATGTGTGCACATGCACACACACAAATGGGAAGAGCAGAAAAACAAGAATTGATCGACTTCATCAG